TCAGAGAAGCATGTACCAGTGCTTAGAATGTCCCTTTTGTTTTCAAGAGACATCTATAGAGCTTCCTGTATAATGAAACGGAAAAAGTGAACATGAAATAGTAGTCTGAGTAATAAGAAAGAGAGTGAAAACCCACACACGTTACCATATAAATACAGAGGATCTATACTTAAAGAAGGAAAACCTTGCCTCTTCACTCCCATAAAAAAGTGACCACAATTAACCACTCTGATCTCAGATCAGCAAGAAGATACCAAATTTAATCGCCATTTCAAAGACGCATTTGCTGATTCACCATATAACGAATGTAAAAATATTATATACAATATTTTACCAACAACGAGAATAAATGTACAAACCAGTGAAGCAAAGCTGAATATTTTGGAAATGGAGAAATAAACCATGAATGCGGATTTTTAATGACTTAATAACAAAGTGAAGATAAGAAATGATTATGAAGATACAAGAATTTCTCTTCTGAAAATGAGTAGTGCCAGCCCCTTTTCAAAGCAATAATTCTTACTGTATAAGTATATATCCCTTTTTCTGGCCTGGGAATAATGCTAATCATGAAAAGCTGAATAAGCACCTTATGCTTCCAAAATAGCCTAGATGACTATTTATAGGTGGATGCAAGAGCAGTCAGGACCTGCTTGTTTAGAACTTAATGCAGCGGAGTCCTCTAACATCTGAACGGTTCCTCAGCTTCCCTGGTGGTTCAGACGGTAAAGACATCTGCCTGCAATGCAGGAGACCTGGGTTGCAAAGATCCCCGGAGGAGGAAATGGCAACTCATTCTAGCATTCTTGCCTGGAGAATTCCATGGACAGAGGAGCCTGGTGGGCTGCAGACCATGGGGTCACGAAAGAGCAGGACACGACTGAGTGACTGACACTCTCATTTCACTCCCTCAGCAGTACGAATGAAGGGCTTAGAAGTACGTACACAAACCTTTTAAGGCAGGGGCTGACCACGTGCCTAAATTACATGATGAAGGGGTTACAGCCTAAGAAGCTCTGTTGCTATTACTTCTGTAGATGTCAAGTCCATCCCTAGAAAAAGACCAGGATTCTTCAGATGGAATCTCAGAAACCCAGGGGTTTGGTCTTTTTCCTTAGGGTCCTCCATGGAGCTCAGATACCCCTTCTAAGCAGAGCAGTTCTAACATTACAAAGCATTTAAAAAAAAAAAAAGGAGGTTTACTCTGTGCCAGGACCATGCTACCTTTATGCTTTATATACTTAGCTTGAAGAAAAAGGTGTCTCTGCCAAAGTGAACTCTGAAGCTAACTTGTGGGGATCTTTCCACTGATAACACCCCAGGATAGCTTAACTATGGTTTGTCTATAGGACAAGTGGGAGAGGAACAAGCCCAGGGGAGACAGCCCTGGGAAAAGCGGACTGCCTGCCAAACAGACGTGGGGGACTTCACTGAAGAGGGAAAACATTCAAGAACCGGCTTCCTCATCACTCCCCAGGTCTGGCGAGGTTTTCTTTGTAAGAGTCAGACATTCCAAAGATTGAACTCTTTTGCAATTGTGGTGAACTCTCTAAATACTTTTTATGACATCTTGGAATAAGCTTTCAGCTTGATTTATTATAAGAACAAACACAAGAAATTCTATGTGATGTGGACACGTCTGGACCAGTTAAATAGTTACAGATATCATGGTGTTAATGAGGCCGACGTCAGAGGCACAATTCACATACAGACAGTAAACTGTGCTGAGCTGTGGCCTCAAAGAGCATTCATGAGCCCAGATGGTCATTTCAGACACTTACGCCCTTGGTATTAACACAATCCGTGAGCACGGGTTGGGTGGGTGAGAGATACGGCAAAGCAGCACAACCCACAAAAAATCTGAAAAGCCCATGTTCCAAGACTGCACAGAGCCATCACTGATCTATGACCAGAATATTCTGATGACAACTCACAATTAGCAAAATATTAAGTATCAAAGTTAAAAGAGTTTTCTGAAATTGTTGATAAATTAGTCCCTTGTTTTCTTAGCTATTCAGGCCTTAGCTCTTCATAATAAATCTTTAGGAGTGGAACAGGAAGATGAAATGAAAATTAAGTCATCGAAAATACTTGTCCTCTATATCTCTTAAGTTATAAATTGTAATAACCCCCAAAATTTATTGAGCACGCTGTGTGCCAGGCACTATTTTAAGTGCTTTATACATATTAATTCCTCTGATTCTATCAACTAGGAAGCGTTCATTGATTCATCCCACAAACGGTAACTGATGGCTCTCTGCATTCTGGGCATGCCCCTGTATGCGCACAATACTCAGGAAAGAGAAGAAGTAAAAGTCTCTGTCTTCAACAATAAAAGAAAATAAAGCATAGAAAATTTCGCCAAGGTCACAAAGATAGTAGCTAGGAAATGTGGTTCTAGAATTCCTGCTCTTAAGAACTATATTTTTCTGCTGAAGCTTTTTTTCCAACCTAGAAGGAGGAAGCCTCACAGGAAGCCCTAGAATCACAGAATTCTAACACCAAGAGGAAGATGGTATGTATCATTTTGTCCAGATATACTCATGCGTGTCAAATCTCCTCATGTCCAAACCTTTGGAAGGTAGCACAAAAATACAGCATCCTTTCTGTTTGAGCCTGGGTGTGGACTCCGTCCTTCTCAGCACAAGGTTACAAGCACCCATGACTGGCCACCTAGACCACATCCTCATTATACGCTGCTGCTGCTAAGTCACTTCAGTCGTGTCCGACTCTGTGACACCCCATGGACAGCAGCCCACCAGGCTCCTCCGTCCACAGGATTCTCCAGGCAAGAACACTGGAGTGGGCTGCCATTTCCTTCTCCATCCTCATTATATAATTATCACATTTCTTGAGTGACTAAGGATCTTTGTCAAGGCCACAAGACAAGTGACTGGCCACGGCTAAGTTCAGAATGCAAGTCCAGTGATTTTTATCCCACACCCTACATTCTCATCCTTTTTACGTGATTACCTATGTTGAGTATGTAAATTTCCCAATGAACCACATATAAGATCATACATATTCTATATATATATATAAGAGCAACTGAAAAAAGCAACAGTTTTTTTTTTTAAACAATTCTCTAACTCTAATCTATCAGCATAACTTATTCAATGCCATGGATTCTCACTCAAGTTAAACAAGAAAATGAAAATGGAACCAAATAAGTCTTTAGGCTACAGAGTGTGTGATGCACTGTCTCAATGCAAGGGATTTTTTTTTTTTTTTTACTCTCCCATTTGGGAAGCTGAAAGCACTCATGTATCCCACTCCCCATCCCCTACGCTTCCATTCACATTTTTGTGTGTAGGACTTTTCAGGGATAGTTTCAGTGAAAGAAAGTCAGGTATAAAGAACTCATAAAACCACCATTTTAATTACAGTTCAATAAAAAGGGGGTAGAAGAATCTAGTATTGAGTTCTGATAAGAGCAAAGTGAAATGAGCTTTGAAATTCCAGAGGTTGCCATCTGAGAAACAATGGGGTAGATTCAGTTTGGAGTCCACCAGGGAATCCCCGGCGGTCCCGTGGTTAATGCAGAGAAGTGGGTTGGATCCTTGATCGGGGAACTAAGGTCCTGCGTGCAGTGGGGCAATTAAGCCCACAGGCTATAACTACTGAGCCTGCATGCCACAACTAGAGATCCAGCGCGCCGCAACAAAAGGTCAAGAGTACTGTAAGTAGGATCTGACACACCCAAGTCAATAAATAATTTTTTTTTTAAAGTGACTCAGGTAATAAGGGAGCTGGCAGGACCTTGGGATTCAAATGCTCCATAAGGCACTCGTCCTATTTCTACTAATGTGCTAACAGGTTCTCTGGGTCTGAGTTAAGCCCTATGACATTTCTGAGCAGCAACTCACCCTGAATTTAATTACTGGATGATTCGTAAGTATCTGCAGGACAACTACATGGTCTAAGTTGAGCTTCTTAATATCTAGTGAGTCCACATGGCATTATTCCAAATAAATGTTTTAAGAGCTGGAAATCCCTTAGTTTACAACATATGTATATAAATTCATACATGGATCTAGGGATTGTAACTCCATCTCATAAAAAACATAGACATGTGATCAAAAGATAGATCCTCTGAAGGTAGTGGGCAGAGCTCAGATTACTAGAAAACCCTGTAGAATATACAAGATGGAGAAGGCGCTGAGGTCAAGTGTTAGGAAGAAAAAACCCATCTAGCAGTTACTGCAAGAAGATGAATAAACAGAGGAGCTGCAGCCCTGAGCAGGACAAATGAGCCTGGGGCCCCGGGACCTCCTTCTCTTCCTGGCTGTGCGATCTAAGGTGGCTCTTGCCACTTGGGGACAGGACAAGTAGCCTCTTCGGAAAGAAGCATCCTTTGACTACCTTCATAATTTCATGAGCACCCAGAAAACATGTAAAAAAGAAAAGCAAGTTCTCTGTAACAATTAAGTTTCATTCATTTGACAAACACTTACTGAACAACTACTATGTAGTCTTTGGTGCTTTAAATTAGAGCAAAGGAGTGTGGTTAAGTAACATCAGGAAAATGAAGTTTTCTTAAACATGAAAACAAACTTTGCTTTAACTCTGGGTTTGCCCCCCAAAATAATCAAACTCCTAAAATTAAAGAATGCCACAAATGAGTTATAACATACTTTCTTACAATAACTTATCTACCCACATGCAGAAACCAAAGTTCAGGTTACATTTGTCGACTTTTTTTGTGATTTGTAATTAATACAGTTGACACTATTCCCATTAAGGTTCTGCTTGGCAAGCAATTCAGGTGAGTGTGGGAGAGTATTTAAATTTTGTCAGAAAAAAGTGCAATGAAACTTGTGCAGTAATAATCACTTTAAAGCCCAAATGTTTCCCAATGATAAGAGTCAAAGATTATTAGTGCCATTTAAGGAAAAAAAGAAAAAAACCCTAGCAACTCTTTGCAAACTGAATACACGAATACCATCAAAGAGCTGGCCCTGGAGCTGGCACGTGCGGTGGAAGGAGCGGGGAGGCTGTACCTGCTGCCTGTTGTTCGGCGTGTGGGGGAGCATGGTGCACACGTGGAACATGAGCTCGTAGTCCTTGTATGTGGTGTACAGCGAGTGCGTTCCCGTAGAATCCGCTGAAAACAAAGATTAATTACAAGAACAAGTCAGGCCACTGCAGATGAGCAATTCAGCACTTAGAAGGTCATTATCACAAAAGGCCATCCAACTGAAAAGAACAGACGGCCCGACTACAAAGGAGCAGTGTCTCGGTGGCGGCCCTGCTGCCCTTGCACCAGGCAGTTTCTCCCACTTTCTAGCCCATGGCCGCTGCCTGGGTTTTCTTCATTTGCTTTCACACGTGCTTTCGACTGAACACATGGTTTCTCCTCTCTTATCTTCTGCATTCTTGCCTTCCCAGGGCTGATGACCCAGACGGGAGAGATGCTTCTGCCATGAGCAGTACAGGTGACGAGAAGAGGAGGAGGTATGGTGTGGTGCAGGTCTGGGTGCAATTATTAGATGGGGCTGAGCTAGCCAGCAGTTGCCCATGCCCCATAGCGCGGGCGTGCGCGCGCGCGCGTGTGTGTGTGTGTGTGTGTGTGTTTACAGTCAATTCTTAGTTATTCCTGGGCACTTGACCCTCCAGAACTCAGAGAAATGAAACAGGATTGACTTCGTATGGAAATGAGGACAAAAGATATTAAGGACTTCTCTATCGAATGATGGAACTAATTTTCTTTTCTCTTCAACAGGCAATGCGACGATGCAGCCATATGATTAAGACCAAGGAGAATGAATGAGATCTCTTACTGTATATTATGCACTGACACATGTTAAAAAACTATGACATCTAAATCCCTGTTAATCATACAGCTATTCATCTTTTCAAAAGCAGAATGATTCTTTGTAAATTCAAGACCCATCTGTATCATCAACAGATTACCTCACTGAGGATTTCAGACACCAAGCCAACTAGGAGACTATAACACATTTAAGTAATGATTTTAGGATGGGGTTTTGAACCGCCTTGCATCTGGATAAAGATAAAAAGATAAACAGAAATTAAGAGGTAAACAATTCTGTCTTTCTGAATCCTTGACCTATATCTATTTTTCCACCTTTTAAAGAACAAGGAACAATACCATTCAATATTATTTAAAATGAAGTTTATTCCACTGTGCTTATTAGGAAAACTCTAAATAGTTACCTAGGGCTAACTTTTAAAATCTGAAATTAAAAATTTTTAACTTTAAAAACATTAAAACACTTAATTTTCATAGGCATTTATTATTTTCTTTCTAAATCCTGTAATTTTTTTTAATTTCCAGCATTTATATCCAATTCAGAAATAATCTTGAAAATCCTCTAGAAAAAAAATATACAGTCTTGCACCGAAAAGGCAGTCATAGAAGGCAATTTTATGAGTAAGGGGAGTATGTAGAATCTTTATCTATGGATATTGGCAGATCAACTTGCAGACGGTCAGAGTATATTCATCTAATAAGCTGTATACTATCTAGGCACCAAATAAAGACATTTTCTCTTTTAACTATTCATTAAATGCATATTTGTTATTTTTTCATAGGACTTTTTAGGGAGTAATCCTTCATTTCAACTGTCTTATCTCAGGATCTTGACTGTGAAAGTGGCTTTGGAAGTCGGCAGCCTAGTTATGAAAGAACGATGACTGTTCTTTCCATGAAGAAATAATAGTGAAGGTCAGAGGATGAACTAACCCTGCAGGTTCAAGGACTCCCATTACAACACTTACGCCGGTGTTTAAAATTCAGTAAGAGAAATGCTGACAGATGCTTAAGAGTCTGGTCAGTGGGCTTCAGATGCAGGAAATTGCAATGAAAAAAGAAAAGTGCAATTCTGAGGGGGAGGGGGAGAAACACTTTCAGAAATGTGGTCATAACTTGTCTATCCCAAGCCCATACTAAAGGATGAATTTCAGAAATTAAGCATTTTAAACTTTTCATCTCAACTATCAGTATGGCAATGGAAAAGGTAAACTCACAAGCTTGGTGGGGTTTGCTGCAAATATTTCTACTAAAAAAGAGATACGGGGCCATCTACGGCAGTCTTTGGTTTTATCATTCTCTGCACCTAACCAAAGAAAGAGGCCACAGCCTGGGGTCTGTACTCTACAGTCAGCAAAGCAACTTAGCAGCTCATGGCCCTTCTGTGCCTACCCCACGTCATTCTGTACTCAAGAGAGAAATGGCTCATTTTAAAGCTGGAAGGGACATCTCAACTACTCTAGCCCCAACACTCTGAATTTTCTTCATGAAGAAAATATGGCCCAGATTTCACCAAGGTCCTGCAGCAGGCAGAATTAGAACTGAAACAGTGGGGGACTTCCCCGGTGGTCCAGTGGTTAGGTCCACCTTCCCATGCAGGGGACATGGGTTCAATCCCTGGTTGGAGAACTAAGGTCCCACATGCCTCTGAGCAACCAAGTCCACAGGTGACAACTGCACATGCCCACATTCCAACCCCACATGCAACAACTAAGACCCAACGCAGACAGAAATAAATAAACAAACACTAAAAAGTTAAACACAATTCTCCTGAACTTAAGATTTTCTCGCCCACTGTGTAAAAGGCATAACTTTCATCTGACCATTCTATGAAACATCATTCTTAGAAAGTTCCTCTAAACCGAAGATGTGTCATGATTTCTTTGTCTCTCACAGAACGCCTTGGTCATAAAAATATGAATCAATATGTCAAAATTTTGTTCTTATTTCCTTGAGCTAACATGATTAGCATGACATCTATAATGCATTCAATAAAAACTCAAAGCTGATGTCAATTCTGTACATAGAAAAAAAAGTATTTGCACTATCTACATTGTAGCGTTATAGAATGCATACATCAGGAGCTTTTAAAATGTCCCCTCATCCCTTCCACAGCAGAAGGACAGCAGACATGCAGAGCAGCAATGAGCCCATGTTGGTGCTCATTCTTCAGGAGGGCGTCCCTAAGGGCAGCATGCTAGCACTGCCAGCGGTTGTACGGTAGTCTGTAGGTAAGGGGAGTTTGGCAGAGAAAAAAGAAAGAAAATTCAGAAAAGGCCTCAATGATCTTTCTCAAAACAGGTGGACACTCACAACAGGTATCATGTATTATTTTCTAACCTTTGCATTTCTGAGGCATGAGCAATGCACATTCAACTTAACAGTCAAGCTCCAACCTCGACATCTGCGGAAGACACAGGGCCTGTATGTGAGCCAGCTTTTCTCCAGATCTTGTGATCTATTCTCTAAGTGTCACTTTCAGAAACAGAAGAGCAAATATTGCATGTTAACACGTATACATGGAATCTAGAAAAACAGTACTGATGAATCTATTTGCAGGGAAGGGACGGAGACACAGATGTAGAGAATGGACTTGTTGACACAGTTGAGAGGAGAGGGGAGGAGGAATCGGTAAAGTTGCATTGTCACATACATACAGTGATGTGTGGTAAAGAATCAGCCTGCCAAGCAGGAAACTCAGGTGCAGTCCCTGGGTTGGGAAGATCACCTGGAGGAGGAAATGGCAACCCACTCCAGTATTCTTGCCTGGAGAATCCCATGGGCAGAGGAGCCTGGCGGGCTACAGTCCATGGACTCAAAAGCGAGTCAGAAACAACTGAGGCAGCATAGCACACGTGTAAAACAGATAGCTAGAGGGAAGCTGTTTACAGCACAGGAAGCTCAACCTGTACTCTGTGACGACCTAGAAAGGTGGGATGGGAGCGGGGCTCAAGAGGCAGGGAGGCTCAACATATGTATACTTATGGCTGATCACGCTGTTGGATGGAAGAAACGAACACAACACTGTAAGGCAGTTATCTTCCAGGAAAACTTTTTTTTAATAAAAAAAAAAAAGGAAAGACTGAAACCCCAGAACTGATGATAAGCTAGACACGGGAAGAGCGGCACCACTCTGTTGTAGGCAAGTATCATTGACGGTCGCAAGGTGAGCAGACCTGGGGCAACAGGGCCTTGGTTTCAAGCCTGGCTGATGCTCCCCTGGGAGAGGTTCCCACTGACCCCTCCTAGAGGAATGGATGTCCTTGCAGATGCATCTTTTACTCACTCTTCAGTAAAAGGGCAAGCAAATCATTGCTTGACAATAAGTAGAATTTTCCCAAATACACAAAATTACCCTACCTGGTATTTTCAGGTGTGTTGAGAGCAACTAAGTAACAACACAGATACAAAGGTTGAATATTTAGAATTTATGAGGGCCATAAGAACGGGATTACTAAAATGAAGAGACAAGACAAATTCACACATAGGAGGGAACGCACAGGTGCCCCACTTGAGAGAACCTGACTAAGGTCCTTGGAAAATAGGATGTGTTAGCTTTTTAATCAGAGCTTCAGCTCCCCAGGTAATACCATGAAAAAGGCTATAAACAAGATAAGGCTGCAAGCATGGATGTGGAAATATTCAGAGTACTCAGAAATGAATGCAAGGTTGGTCAAGCTGCAGTGGGACAGAGTGGAACAGAGAGGTGAGGTGAAAAGAAAAAAGAACATACTAAAAGATTCTTCACAGAATCCTGGGGAATCTCTGCTCTTGTTACAAAGGAAGAAGAACTGACCTTTTGAGATTATGTGGGACACAATGCCCTTGAGAAATGTGCTTTTCTTGCTCATCTGAGTGCAAGGGTGTGCTTAGTCGCTTAGTTGTGTCTGACTCTTTGCAACCCCATGGACTGTAGCCCACTCCATTCCTCTGTCCATGGAACTCTCCAGGCAAGAATACTGGAGTGGGTAGCCATTCCCTTCTCCAGGATATCTTTCTGACCCAGGGATCGAGCCCCGGTCTCCTCCACTGCAGGCAGATACTTTACAACCTGAGCTACCAAGGAAGCCCTCTGCTCCTCTGAGGAACTCGCAACTCCATCCCCAGTAAGCTGGCTCAGCCGCTGCTGGGGTCAGGACCTCTCAGATGTCTGCAGTGTGCCTGCCCTTGGGGAATTAGATCTGTGCAGACGCCCAAGTCTGAAGCTTACTTTTGTTGTCCAGCTGGGCTCGGTATTTACTAAACCCCTTCAGCCGCACTCTCTGGCCCAGCAGATCCAGGAACTCTTCAAAAGCTGGCCCTGCCGTCTCATTGTTGTACATCTCCTCTTCGGTGCTCTGGCCGGCCTTGCAGTATAGGATCCCGATCTTGTGCTGAAAGCTCAGCTGAAATGGGGGAGAGAGGAAAATCACTGGGCAGAAAGTATCAGACTAGCACACACAAAACTAACACAATATTGTAAATCAACTATGTTGTCAGTCGCTCAGTCATGTCCAACTCTTTGTGACCCCATGAACTGCAGCCCGCCAGGCTCCTCCGTCCATGGGATTTTTCAGGCAAGAATACTGGAGTGGGTACCATTCCCTTCTCCAGGGAATCGTCCCAACCCACGGAATGAACCCGGATCTCCCGCATTGCAGGCAGATTCTTTACCATCTGAGCCACCGGGAAAGCCCATGCTCCGATATAAAACACAAAATAAATTTTAAAAATTAAAAAGCATCACACAAGCTAACTTCCAGTAAAATTAAAATTATAGGAGCTGAGAATTCTGTTCATAGGAAAGCATGCCAGGACAATTTCCGGAAGCTAAAAAAAGTAATCAACTATCATTCTGCAAAACCCTACAAAAATCATAACAAACCCAGAGACCTGAAAATAACAGCTGGAGAAATGTCAGACAACCTAAGAAATACAGTGAATGGCTTTGCCTACATGGGAATTTGCAGGTTTCCAAAACAGACAGCTAGGTTCAAACATTTATTTAAAAATAGAGCTGTGGAAATATCTTATACCCTCTATATAGTAAATAGCATTATCTTCGAAGTTAGAACGGAAAAAAGCTGTATATTTTCAGACATTTTCCCTGTCTGGTTCTTAATGCTTTTTTGTTGTCGTTATTTGAACATTCATGGAAATATGAAGGACTGTAATGAAAAAAACAAATCAAATTAAGGTCTGGGGAGGAAAGACTCCCACTGAAAATTGTGATCCATGTATATTGATAGAATAATGTCTTATTTCCATAAAAGTAACTCTGGCTGAGCCATTACAGTCATTTCTATATTTTTGACTATCTTGAAAACATTTGCTAAATATACAATAGACCATAAAGAACTTTAATAGCAACTGAAGGGTTCCTGCTATAATTCTGTCTCTCTGTCCATCCATGCCATGATGGAAGGTACCACACTACTTCCTCCTAAGGCAGGGGAGACCTTTACAGCTTTACAGCTTTTTTATTTTCCTTAAAGAGGAACTACCGGTCAATCACAAAAGCAGGGCACTTCATCCTACTAGCAGCCATCTGAGCCTCGAAGGCTGACGGATTATCAGCCTTGCCCAATTCCCTAAAGGCATCCATCCATAACATTGTTCACTTTTATTACCAAACTGTAAAACAGAGCCTTTAATCAAAACTCAGAGCTGACTGTATCAGTGAAATAAGGCAAAACGGTACTAATTTCTCTTGAGTAGCAAAGTGATGACAGCAGTCTCATCCGAGTGACCTATGCCACTTCCAATCCAAGAAAGGGAGGGATCTGCCTGTCATGCATCTCGGTGGAGATGCTGGGGAAGCTCAGAGGGGAGCAGGCAGCAGAGAACCAGTACTCANGCTTTTCTTCTCAAAGATCTACTTTTTCCACTTTTAGCAGCACTCTATCAAATACAGTGAAGATTAATATACAACCTCTACTAAAAAAAGTAGAGATCTAATATAACTAGTTATTTGAGCAATGTTAGTGTTAGTTGCTGAGTTCTGTCTGACTCTTTATGACCCCATGGACTATACAGTTCATGGAATTCTCCAGGCCAGAATACTGGAGTGGGTAGCCATTCCCTTCTTCAGGGGATCTTCCCAACCCACGGACTGAACCCAAGACTCCCACATTACAGGCAGATTTTTTACCAGCTGAGCCACGAGGGAAGCCCAGGCAGTGGCCAAAATACCCAGATAACTGAAACCCCCTCGGGGCTTCTGTGCTGAGTGCAGGTCTATTCGCTCACATATCCTTTCTTGCAGCCTCCAGACAAACCAGCACATCTACATCCCAACTGGGAAGAGGACCTGCCTTTCACCCAAGAAGCCCTGGGCCCATGGATGTGGCTAGGAGAGACTTCAAAGCCCCCAGAAGTCTGCTCCACTGGAGATGCCCTCTTACACACACACACACACACACGCCACTCAGGCCTGCCCCCCCACCCACCAGCCTAGCCCCTATGACCTGTGTACCAGTGGGAGAGGACATGAGATGGTACTCGGGAGACAGAACCATCTCCAGCGACTGAGAATTAACCACTGTGGCCAGTGTAGCGCAATTCCAATAAAAGAACAGAATGGCACGTTGTGTGGAGGAAGAGGCAGCTCTTGGTCTCTTAGAAGCCTCATGAAATCAATAGCAATGCAACATACCGAGGCTGACCCCTCCCACCCACGGTTTATCAGAAAGCTGGCCTGATTCCAAGGGGAGGACAGATCCCAGCTCTCCATGAACTAAAACCCCCAATTCTCTTGGAACAAGGTTCATCTCTAAGGCCCCTCCACCTACACCTTGGTCACCTCTAACCACACCTCCACTCCCACTGACCCTGCTTAACTGCTCTGATGCGAATCGCACCAGGCTTACAGCCCTGGGGGGAACCTCAGGCATCACCACAGTCAAAAACTAAAAACACCCACTTGTCAAAACTCTATACTGCTTCCGTGATCAGAGCTGAACACACAGACCCTGCATAGACAGGCTAGGCGATCCCTAGCCTCCTGAGAATGGATCAAAACCGCATGCTCTGTACCCAAGGTCAGAAACTCCATAATTATTGACCAGATGATTTAAATTTAAAGGAAGGTAGCAAAAGATAAAGTCTCAGAATGGCCTTGAAAGTAAATTCAAGTGTGCAGGAAAGTCCTGCCACTGCACTCTCTAAACTCAACCACCTGTTCTAAGTGTGTAGTCTCGTGTGTTCAGACCTCTCTGACTTCCTGTCAAGGAAACCTGGTGCATGAGTGAACATATATCTGGAGGGGCAGTTGACTTAAGAACAAACTAATCCAAAGATGCCATAATATTCTAAGTCAGTAAGCTGTCATAAACAACCTGAATTATTTTTTTTAAAAACTCAACCTAGTGGGGAGGTACAAATTAAGACTTTTGGGTTAACATAACACACGACTATATGTGGTCTTCTCAGGAGGCACAAGTGGTAAAGAATCCACCTGCCAATGCAGGAGACATAAGACACAGGGGTTCAGTCCCTGGGTCAGGAAGACGCCCTGGAGGAGGGCACGGCAACCCACTCCAGCGTTCTTGCCTGGAGAATCCCGTGGACAGAGGAGCCTGGCGGGCTACAGTCCACAGCGTCACAAAGAGTCGGACACGACTGAAGTGACTTAGCACATACACACTATATAAAAAAGATAAACAACAAGGACCTACTGTATAGCCAGGGAGCTCTACTCAATATCCCATGATAATCTATAGTAAAAAGAATATATATATTCATATATAATATGTATGTACAACTGAATCACTATTGTACATCTGAAACTAATACAACATTGTAACTATACTCCAATTGTTTTTAAAAAAGTCAATCTATATAATCTTATGAACTCACTTGTTACAAAAACTAGGATAGCCTTAAAAAAGGGGGCTCTTAGAAGTTGAGAGGTGAATTTATGTAGATTAATTAACAAAACTTTCAAAGTACTGCTCAGTATTACTTTCCTTATTATTCTCCATGGCATGGAGTCTTCCTGCTCAACACATCTTACCAAATGTAAAGAATGGAATGAATGATCTGGGACCTACTATTACAGGTCTCTTGTACAGAGCAGATAAAATAAACTCAGGGTCAAATCATGAATAGATTCCAAACTACAAGGAAGCAGAAAACAACAATCTATCCTTTTTAAGTAATTTTTTGAGATTTAAACCTCTTAAGGATAGTAACATAAAATTACTGATTCCGTGGTGGCTCAGACAGTGAAGAATCTGCCTGCATTGCAGGAGATGCGGGTTCAATCCCTGGGTCGGGGAGATCCCCTGGAGAGGGAACGGCTCCCCACTCCAGTGTTCTTGCCTGGAGAATCCCATGGACAGAGGAGCCTGGCAGAGAGTCAGACATGACTGAGCGACTAACATTTACTTACTAAGTCTTTAGTAACATCAAGACAAAAAAAAACATTTCCATGCACTCAGGGACTGAGGAATAAACCTTTCTGATCAACTCAAGTACTGAAACAAATGCTCTCCCGCATCTGCACCTTGTCCCAGGGCACCGCACCAATCTCAGCAGCCACTCCTGGGGAGCAGGCCTGGGGCAAAGCCGTCTCTGGCCCCAGGGTTGGGGCTGGGATGGCCCCGGTGGCTGAAGCAGGGCCCTCTCTGGACGCACACAGTTTCTCTCCAGTCCCTACCCTTATGGACATGATGCTTTTGTGACTCAAAAACAGTGAATAGTGAAAGTTACTGAGTTCTGTCTGACTCTTTATGACCCCATGGACTATACAGTTCATGGAATTCTCCAGGCCAGAATACTGGAGTGGGTAGCCATTCCCTTCTTCAGGGGATCTTCCCAACCCACGGACTGAACCCAAGACTCCCACATTACAGGCAGATTTTTTACCAGCTGAGCCACGAGGGAAGCCCAGGCAGTGGCCAAAATACCCAGATAACTGAAACCCCCTCGGGGCTTCTGTGCTGAGTGCAGGTCTATTCGCTCACATATCCTTTCTTGCAGCCTCCAGACAAACCAGCACATCTACATCCCAACTGGGAAGAGGACCTGCCTTTCACCCAAGAAGCCCTGGGCCCATGGATGTGGCTAGGAGAGACTTCAAAGCCCCCAGAAGTCTGCTCCACTGGAGATGCCCTCTTACACACACACACACACACACGCCACTCAGGCCTGCCCCCCCACCCACCAGCCTAGCCCCTATGACCTGTGTACCAGTGGGAGAGGACATGAGATGGTACTCGGGAGACAGAACCATCTCCAGCGACTGAGAATTAACCACTGTGGCCAGTGTAGCGCAATTCCAATAAAAGAACAGAATGGCACGTTGTGTGGAGGAAGAGGCAGCTCTTGGTCTCTTAGAAGCCTCATGAAATCAATAGCAATGCAACATACCGAGGCTGACCCCTCCCACCCACGGTTTATCAGAAAGCTGGCCTGATTCCAAGGGGAGGACAGATCCCAGCTCTCCATGAACTAAAACCCCCAATTCTCTTGGAACAAGGTTCATCTCTAAGGCCCCTCCACCTACACCTTGGTCACCTCTAACCACACCTCCACTCCCACTGACCCTGCTTAACTGCTCTGATGCGAATCGCACCAGGCTTACAGCCCTGGGGGGAACCTCAGGCATCACCACAGTCAAAAACTAAAAACACCCACTTGTCAAAACTCTATACTGCTTCCGTGATCAGAGCTGAACACACAGACCCTGCATAGACAGGCTAGGCGATCCCTAGCCTCCTGAGAATGGATCAAAACCGCATGCTCTGTACCCAAGGTCAGAAACTCCATAATTATTGACCAGATGATTTAAATTTAAAGGAAGGTAGCAAAAGATAAAGTCTCAGAATGGCCTTGAAAGTAAATTCAAGTGTGCAGGAAAGTCCTGCCACTGCACTCTCTAAACTCAACCACCTGTTCTAAGTGTGTAGTCTCGTGTGTTCAGACCTCTCTGACTTCCTGTCAAGGAAACCTGGTGCATGAGTGAACATATATCTGGAGGGGCAGTTGACTTAAGAACAAACTAATCCAAAGATGCCATAACATTCTAAGTCAGTAAGCTGTCATAAACAACCTGAATTATTTTTTTTAAAAACTCAACCTAGTGGGGAGGTACAAATTAAGACTTTTGGGTTAACATAACACACGACTATATGTGGTCTTCTCAGGAGGCACAAGTGGTAAAGAATCCACCTGCCAATGCAGGAGACATAAGACACAGGGGTTCAGTCCCTGGGTCAGGAAGACGCCCTGGAGGAGGGCACGGCAACCCACTCCAGCGTTCTTGCCTGGAGAATCCCGTGGACAGAGGAGCCTGGCGGGCTACAGTCCACAGCGTCACAAAGAGTCGGACACGACTGAAGTGACTTAGCACATACACACTATATAAAAAAGATAAACAACAAGGACCTACTGTATAGCCAGGGAGCTCTACTCAATATCCCATGATAATCTATAGTAAAAAGAATATATATATTCATATATAATATGTATGTATAACTGAATCACTATTGTACATCTGAAACTAATACAACATTGTAACTATACTCCAATTTTTTTTTAAAAAGTCAGTCTATATAATCTTATGAACTCACTTGTTACAAAAACTAGGATAGCCTTAAAAAAGGGGGCTCTTAGAAGTTGAGAGGTGAATTTATGTAGATTAATTAACAAAACTTTCAAAGTACTGCTCAGTATTACTTTCTTTATTATTCTCCATGGCATGGAGTCTTCCTGCTCAACACATCTTACCAAATGTAAAGAATGGAATGAATGATCTGGGACCTACTATTACAGCGTCTCTTGTACAGAGCAGATAAAATAAACTCAGGGTCAAATCATGAATAGATTCCAAACTACAAGGAAGCAGAAAACAACAATCTATCCTTTTTAAGTAATTTTTTGAGATTTAAACCTCTTAAGGATAGTAACATAAAATTGGCCCATTCCCTCCCTGAGCAGTTTTTTATTAGGAAAGTGGATAAAAACAGCACTAACTGGAAGAAACACTCCAACACCCCAACTGATGAGTGAAACTTTTAAAGATCCTTTAGAAACTAGAATATGACATAAGACACCACTAAGATGCCTTTAGATATCATTAAGAGTTGTGGGAAGTCAAGACATCATATTGTACACTATTAGTAAAGTATAGCAGAGTCAAATAAATATAATCTCAAAAGAAAAAGCACCAGAATACATATGATTGGAGATATATGATGCATTGGTTTCCTTAAAATAAACACTGCACTCACCTTCACCACAACCTGGCTTGACTCTGTGCAGGCAAGCGGACTCAAGTCTGGTTCAGTGACAAATGCTTCACATCAAGCCCACCTGCACCCCGAGTCCCCAGATCAGCAGTGACACCCTGCTCTGCCCCTCCATGACAATAGGATTTCCTCAGCTGCCTCACGGCCATTACATGCACTCCACACACTTTACTAGTGAGAACCATGCTGAATGCTTCTGTGCAATTTTAGAAGTCAACTACTCAGGTTTAGCTGTTGGTTTGACTTTGTCAGGCCTCAATGCTGAGAAAGGCAGATCTCAGGATTATCCATTCTGAATATCATGGTGTCTGTTTCCTCTGGCTGAGAATGCAGTATTAATTTGCTAGAACAATTACAACTTCATCTCCTTTAGAATTTCAGCCATCCAAGTATCAAACACTCCACCAATACAACACAATGAGTGTTACTGGGTCAACCAGGAAATACCACATCTTCCCTCCAAAATGTGCCAAAGAATTTTCCTTGGAAAATTCTGGAACAACATCACAATTGTCTTTTTCTTTTGTTTAAAGCCTGTGAAAGAAAAGTGAAAAGTGCCAGTCACTTAGCTGTGTCCAGCTCTTTGCGACCCATGAACTGCAGCCCGCCAGGCGCCTCCGTCCATGGGATTCTCCAGGCAAGGATACTGGAGTGGGCTGCATGTCCTTCTCCAGGGGATCTTCCTGACCTGGGTCTCTGGCATTCCAGTCAGATTCTTAACTGTTTAAGCCGTAAGGGACTTAAACACAAATCCACTCATTTAAAACAAATTGCATACACTTGGGCACCTACCTCTCAGTTTTGCCTACAAATTATCTTGCATCTGAAGTTAAAAGACCTCTTTCCATCTTCCGGGCCACCATCTACATCCTGTCCATCATTAATTCTCTCCCGGATTCCAGGCCACCATGAAGCTCTACCTGCACCTGACTGTCCAATTCCCTTCTACCAGCATAATCTTCCTAAAACACAACTACCAGCATGTCATGTCCCAACAGCCATCCAAGTATCAAACACTCCACCAATACAACACAATGAGTGTTACTGGGTCAACCAGGAAATACCACATCTTCCCTCCAAAATGTGCCAAAGAATTTTCCTTGGAAAATTCTGGAACAACATCACAATTGTCTTTTTCTTTTGTTTAAAGCCTGTGAAAGAAAAGTGAAAAGTGCCAGTCACTTAGCTGTGTCCAGCTCTTTGCAACCCATGAACTGCAGCCCGCCAGGCGCCTCCGTCCATAGGATTCTCCAGGCAAGGATACTGGAGTGGGCTGCATGTCCTTCTCCAGGGGATCTTCCTGACCCGGGTCTCTGGCATTCCAGGCAGATTCTTAACTGTTTAAGCCGTAAAGAACTTAAACACAAATCCACTCATTTAAAACAAATTGCATACACTTGGGCACCTACCTCTCAGTTTTGCCTACAAATTATCTTGCATCTGAAGTTAAAAGACCTCTTTCCACCTTCCGGGCCACCATCTACATCCTGTCCATCATTAATTCTCTCCCAGACCCCAGGCCACCATGAAGCTCTACCTGCACCTGACTGTCCAATTCCCTTCTACCAGCATAATCTTCCTAAAACACAACTACCAGCATGTCATGTCCCATTCGAAAACCTTCAATGCCTCCTACTGCCTCCATATCAAGTGGAAAAGCCTTAGCCCAGCATTCCTCTCCTATGCTTATTGTCGTTGTTTTAACTCTCAGCTTCCCTGCGTGTGCCCTTTCCTTGTAAAGAAGAGAGTCAGAGTTTCTAAAAGAGCTAAGTACTCATATCTCCCTGTTGGAATTCTACTCAAATCTAAAGGCCCAGTCACAACACCACCTCCTTCAGAGGTTACTTCCTCTTTTCCCAGAACACACTGCATTTCTGCCTCTTCAAACCCACCACGGCCACATTCTGCCTTGCAAGGGCCTTTGTGCTGTCACAGTGATCTCCCCAAGGGGAAGGACCAGGTCTTAGCTTCTCGATTCTCCTGATGCATGCTGTTCACTGCCATCCGTAAACCTGATGTTTTGCACACAGTAAACAACAAATCTCAGGTCAGGGAAAGGTCCAATGTGAGCTCTTTAAACCCTGGGGATAGACTTCCCTCGTGGCCCAGTGGCTAAGACTCCATGCTCTCAACACAGAAGGCCTGGGTTTGACCCCTGGTCAGGGAGCCAGATCCCACGTGTCACACATCACAGACCCATATTCTGCAACTAAGACCAGGCACAGCCAAGTAAACAAATGAAAGAAGTAAATTTAAAAACAAAAACTACAAAAACCCTGGGGAAAGACATCAGTGATCTCTAATAGTCATGAATCACATCTGCTCCTGCTGGCTGGGACATACCAGACCTTGATGAAAATAATGCAACTCACAGACTTCCCTGGTGGTCTAGTGATTAAGAATCCACCTACCAGTGCAGAGGACAGGGGTTCAGTCCCTAGTCTGGGAACTACCATTCCACATGCTGCAGAGCAACTAAGCCTTTGAGCCACAACTACTGAGCCTGTGCTCCAGAGCTTGCAAGCCACAGCTGCCGAGCCCACAGACGGTGCCTACTGAAGCCCCTGCTCCGGGAGTGAGCAGTCCTAACACCACGGCCAGAGAGAAGTCCCTGCTGGCCACAGCCAGAGAAAACCCGTGTAGCAACGGAGACCCAACACAACCAAAAATAAATAAGTAAAATCTTCAAAAAAAAACAATGCAAGTCACAACTCAGCAGGAGGTGCATTTCTTAATAAATCAAGGCATCTTAACTAGTAATAGAGGCACATTCGGGAAAAACTGGAGAGAAAATGCTTTAAGGCATTAAAAATAAATAATCTTAAAAGGAAGAGGGATGGGAGAACTCCGAAACATTCAGGACCATGGACACCAAGCGTCACAGGCTTCAGTCTCACACAGGATACGCACCCCTTGCTCATCGAGCTTGAGCAGTTGCTCCGAGACCTTGGGTGAGCTGGAGGCCTGCCTCAGGCACTGGATGCTGAGCTCAGGAATGACGTATTCCAGAACTTCTTTGAGCGGGAGGCCGCGTGCAGTCCCATGCCTGGCGGTGGAGGGTATGGCATCTTCCAAAATTGCTCCTCGCAGCGTCGTCAGCTGTGGGGCAAAATAGCACAGCTCAGTTAACCTTAACTCTTTAAAGCATCATATTTCAATTGCCTCAAAAAAAAGGAGGAAGAAAGACAAGGCTCTTTTCAGAGTACAGGAGATGACACTTCTCAGTCTGAAGAAGCAGATTAAGCCTTCATCAGTCAGTCTTTACACAGAGGTACACAGAAGTCGGGAAGGAGCTGGGTGGGGCTGACATAACCAGGTGTGCCCGAGGCGCGAGGAGGAGGAGGCAATGCCCCCCCAGGGAGATACAAAGACACAGCCGCCACAGTCAGAGCCAGCAGCGCCGACGGGCCAGGAGCCACAGGGCCGGGCCAGTCACGGCCACCTCCTCCGTCCTCCCCTCTCCCTTCTCCCACGGTCCGTCATCTTCTTTTCTTCTGCCCTTCTTGTTCTGTTTGTTTTTTGCTTCTTTTTGTATTTTTCCTTTTTATTTGTTTTCTTATCTTTTTCTCTCTTCTACTCCTCATGTTTTTCTATTTAACTTCCCACTGCTGACAATTCCCGAGGCTGGGCGGGGCCAGTCTGAGACCCCCAGGGGCAGCTGACTCAGGTCCAAGAAGTCCAGACCAGGTTCTTCCTCCCTATCTGCGGTATGTCCTCACACAGCTGTGACTGCATGGAGTCACTATTCGGACACAACAAATCTAATCCCAGGTCTAATGTGCTGAGAAAGGAAACGCAGCAGGGCTGCCAGCCTAGAGGCCTGGCTCTCATCTCGCCCCACCGCCTACCCTCCACGCTCGCTACCAAGCAGCCGTGGCGGGGGAGGTAACAGCGGCGCCTAGCATCTGCACAGCGTCCAGGGCACGCTGTCCAACGTGACTATTTGCAGCGATGAGCTCGTCCTCCCGCTGCACTGGCCGGCCTGTGCAACTGCCCTGCCCCAACTGGCTGTAGGGACCTCTCCCTTCTCCCACGGTCCGTCATCTTCTTTTCTTCTGCCCTTCTTGTTCTGTTTGTTTTTTGCTTCTTTTTGTATTTTTCCTTTTTATTTGTTTTCTTATCTTTTTCTCTCTTCTACTCCTCATGTTTTTCTATTTAACTTCCCACTGCTGACAATTCCCGAGGCTGGGCGGGGCCAGTCTGAGACCCCCAGGGGCAGCTGACTCAGGTCCAAGAAGTCCAGACCAGGTTCTTCCTCCCTATCTGCGGTATGTCCTCACACAGCTGTGACTGCATGGAGTCACTATTCGGACACAACAAATCTAATCCCAGGTCTAATGTGCTGAGAAAGGAAGCGCAGCAGGGCTGCCAGCCTAGAGGCCTGGCTCTCATCTCGCCCCACCGCCTACCCTCCACGCTCGCTACCAAGCAGCCGTGGCGGGGGAGGTAACAGCGGCGCCTAGCATCTGCACAGCGTCCAGGGCACGCTGTCCAACGTGACTATTTGCAGCGATGAGCTCGTCCTCCCGCTGCACTGGCCGGCCTGTGCAACTGCCCTGCCCCAACTGGCTGTAGGGCGGTGACCGTGACAGGCGTGACCGTGTTTCTTACTCAGCTCCCTGACCTTTAAATAGCCACCTGTGGTTAGCAGCTACTGAACTGGATGGCACAAGTCCATAGCTTAAAACACGCCATCTTCAGAGAGGGCTTTTTTCTCCTACTTACGGCATAGAACCTGGGTCATGAGAATACCGATGCACGGGCAAGTAGACACTGAGTGCTAGGCTTGGGTAAAGCCTTGGAGGGGGTGTCTGAACTCAGATCCAGGAGTCACCAAAATATACACTCAGGGCTGTGTGACCAACACATTTCCATCTAATTACAATGGTCAGGAGGATAAAAACTAAAGCGCAAATCAGATCTGGCTCTTTATGTAAATCAACATTCCCATCTACGTGCATCAGCATCTACGTGACTGTTGCACGTTTCACTCAAAGCAAGACCAGTGGGGGAGTAAGCTGGCTGCTGGTGGGCGGAAGTGTGGGTCCACAGCGATGGTGGGCCCACAGACACGCTGAGCCCACACTCACCTCATGGGTGGCTTCCTGGTTTTCTGCATTTGATTCTAAAGTTGTTTTTCATTTTGATATGAATCATATAGTTCAGATTTGTCCTCTGCCTTACGCCCAAGAACCTTGCATGCTGATGATTTTATCCTTTCTGTCCTTTAAGGTGACAGTAAAATCACTGCCCCTTCACATCCATCACAAGTTTTCAAATACTTCACTCGGAACCAAATAGTCTAAGCCCTTTCAGTCATCTTAACTGGTGTGATCAACACTGACAATAAAAGCAACACATTATGGGAAACAACCCAAGCAGTGACTCAGAGGCCCAGCCCAGGACAGATACCATGCGTGCCCAGTACCTCACTTGTCCTGAAGACCACCCGGTAGTTGAACTGGGACCCTTCCTTCTCCTTGGGGTCTTCCACCTTCTCCCTCCGGATGCTGACTGCCACAGGGCCAAGGTTCTCATCGATTCCAAAGTAGTTCTGATGCTCTGTGATGGAGAAAGTGGTGGCGTGAGAAGAAAGGAAGCAGGTAGAGGATGGGGATTTGGCAACTTGTGTATCTAGTCCAGAAGATGCACCAGTGTCTCTGTGGCAGGATTTCCCACAAATGTGATCAATTTTTTTTGTCTCCAACTTAGATGCACTTTTCTTTTTTATTGGAAGAGACACTTGCTTCACAATATTGTGATGGTTTCTGCCATACATCAACATGAATCAGCCACAGGTACACACATATGTCTGCCCCCTCCTGAACCCCCCTCCCATCTCCCACCCATCCCACCAGGCAGTGCTCTAGAATGCCACAGAGCATTGGGCTGAGAGCTCACCTGGTAGGTGACTATGAGACACCTAGCATAGGGACCTCCAAGCACATTCTTCCTAAGAGATGACCATTAGTCTCTTACAGAACACTTGTGTGCCAGACATGGTCTTGGCCGTGGGGTCACAACCCAGAAAAACTCCCCCATCATGAAGCAAATATTCTAGTCTGAACGCTGCCAGTGATGGCAAGCTCAGTGCTCTGGGAGAAGCCCTTCTGGACGCATAAGTGAGCTCTGCTGAAAGAAGTATAAAAGCTTCACTCCAACCACACTTTTTAAGTGTTGTCTTCTGCAAGTACCCAGACAATGCTCAGATGTGGTCCAACCATACAACACAGAGGGTGCAATTACCCAAATGTTTATTCATGCTGCTTCTCGATTTTAGCAAACCTTCATACCAACAATCCATGCTAAGCAAGTGTTCCATGCAAAGCCCCAGGTGTTATGCATTTATTCCTTAATGAACTGCTGCCCAGTCCATTCTCCAAGGTGCACACTTATAAAACTGGTTTTTTCACCCTGTATGCAAAATCACTTTAACAACCTCCCGCTTTTTCACTTTTATCCCTTTTCAATGTCACCTTAGTGGTTTGGGCCAATCTTTCTGATGTATAGTTTTCAGTTAAAAAGAAATACGCTCTATCACATGTTTGTAAGCTTGAAAAAAGCCATAGGTATTCCAAAGGCTTTGGGTTATGCTAACATCTTCTGCCACAGTAATTTCTGAAGGAATAAGGAATGTTATTCATAAAGTAGAAAACTGGTTAAGTTCGACAAAGAAAAACAGTACTTGTATCACTCAAGGAAAACATTATCCAAAGCCACTAATGAACACTGGCTACATCTTCAAAGGCAGATCATTTACTTTTTACTTGCAATCAAGTGAGATAAATACTGACATAATTTCCCTTTGAACCAGTCAGGACTAGAAGCAGCAGGTCCCCTATTTTAGGGACTAAAAAGGTGAATTATTGCCTCAGTCCTGGGCTTATACAATAGGAAGTGAGACTTTGTTTTTCATGGCTACCTCATCCTTATAAATTATGTACTGATAGTAGTCTGGTTAACTGTTACAAACATACACAACTCCAGTGAAATTAAAAATACATTGCAAAAAATGAATTATTTACCAACAATGAGTTATTTATCAACAGCCTGATGCATTAAGAACATATTTCAAGAAGTTACTTGCAAAAATGTTCAAATCAGTTTCTTGGTAGGCATTTGATAAAACCTGTGACATGAATCAAAAGAAATTCAAGGGCTTCCCTGGTGGCCCAGTGGTTAAGAATTCACCTGCCAATGCAGGGGACATAGGTTCAATCCCTGGTCCAGGAAGATTCCACATGCTTTCAACTTCATTTTTTAAAAAGTATAGCTAATTTACAATATTATGTTCATTTCAGGCATACAGCATAGTGATTCAGTATTTTTATAGATTTTATTCTATTAAAAGTTATAACATAATGGCTATAATTCCCCGTGCAGTACAATATATCCTCGTTGCTTATCTATTTCATATAAAACAGTCTGCATCTCTTCATCCCCTACCCTGACCCTCTACCTTTTCCTCCTCTCACTGGTCACCACTAGTTTGTTTTCTATATCTGTGAGTCTGTTTCTGTTCTGCTATATATACTCAGTTGTTTTATTTTTTAGATTCTACATATCAACTGATAATTACTTGTCTTTCTCTGACTTATTTCACTAAATGTAATATTCTTTAAGTACAGCCACCTTGCTACAAATGGCAGGGTTTCATTCTTTTTTATGGCTGAATAATAAAGAATGCACCAATTCTTTATCCATCCATCTGCTGATGAACACTTCCGTTGTTTCCAGATCTTGGCTATTGTGAACAGTGTTACTAGGACCACTGGTGTGCATGTATCTTTTTAAATTATAGTTTTCTCCAGGTATATGCCCAGGACTGGGACGGCAGGATCACATGGCAACTCTATTTTTAGTTTTTTGAGGAAACTCTGTATTATTCTCCATACTGGCTATATCAATTTACATTCCCACCAACAGTGTAGGAGGGCTCCCTTTTAATCTACATCCTCACCAACATATACCATTTGTGGACTTTTAGGTGATGGCAATTCTGACTAGTGTTTGGTGATCTATTGTTGTTACTTTGATTTCTCTAATAATTACTGATGTTAGCATTTTTTCATGTGTTGATCACCCATCTGTATTTCTTCTTTGAAAGAATGTCTGTTCAGGTCTTCTGCCCATTTTCTGACGGGGCTGTTTGGTTTGTGATATTGAGTTGGTTGAGCTGTTTATGTGTTTTCATTATTAACCCCTTGTTTGTCATCATTTACAGATACTTTCTCACATACAGTAGAATGTCTTTTTGTTTTGTCAATGGATTCTTTTGCCAAAGCTTTTAAGTTTAATTAGGTCCACTTGATTATATTTGCTATCATTTCTTTTGCTTCAGGAGACAGATTCAAAAAAATCTGCTATGACTTATGTCAAAGAGTGTTCAGCCTATATTCTTTTCAACGAGCTTTATGGTCTGCAAGATTTAGGTCTTTAATCCATTTTGAATTATTTCTGCAGATGGTGTGAGAAAACATTCTCATCTCACTCTTTTGCATGAAGCTGTCCAGTCTTCCAAGCACCAACTATTGATAAGACTGTCTTTTCTCCACTGTATATTGCCTCTTTTATCATAAATAATTTGACCATAAATGTGTGGGCTTATTCCTCAGCTCTCTATTCTGTTCCATTGATCCATATATCTGTTTTTGTGCCAGTGCCATGCTGTTTTGATTTCTAGTACCTTGTAGCATAATCTGATGTCTGGGGAGGTGATACCTCCAGCTTTGTTCTTTTTCCTCAAGATTGTTTTGGTAATCTAGGGGTTTTTGTGGATTCATAGGAATTTTAAAATTATCTGTTCTAGTTCTACAAAAAAACATCATGGGTATCCTGATAAAGACTACATTGGATGTGTAGACTGCTTTGGATAGTAGGACCATTTTAACAAAATCCTTCCAATCCAAGAGCACAAGGTATCTTTCCATTTCATTGTATCATCTTCAATTTCATTCATCAGTGTTTTATAGTTTTCAGAGTTAAGTTTAATCCTAAACATTTTATTCTTTCAGATGAAATTTTAGACAGGATTTTTTTTTTTTGTACTCTCTCAGTAGTTCATTATTAATCTATGGAAAAGCAACTGATCTCGGTATATTAATCTTGTATTCTGAAGTTTTGCTGACTTCACATATTAGTTCTAATATTTTTAGGTGGATGTGGGGAGGCCATGACTGGGGAGAAGCCTGGGCTATGGGACGCAGCGGTGACCCAAGTCCAGAGCCTGGGTGGGGCGGCTGTCACCACTGGCATTTACTCAAGCAGCATCTTAGAAGCAGCCCAAAGCTCTTTGCAGGCTGCTCCACCACAGCTCACTCCACCAACCTGCTCTGTGCAGTAGATGATCTTCTGCTGGCCTGTCCCCGCCACACACTGCCCTCCAACGCTGGGATCCTCCAGGCTGCAGAACCGTCCTGCTCATCGATTAACGCTGGCATACCTTGCCTTATGTGGCACTTGCCTAGTTTGTCCCTCTGTGGCTTTATGCCCTTTGTGTACTCCTTCACCATCAGTTTTTTAGTGGTGTTTGGAAGGAAGAGAGAGAACATATATGTTCAAATGGCCAAGTTTAATTAGCACCCCTAAATTCACTTACTCTTAAATATCTATAATTCTCTCCAGTATTCTTGCCTGGAGAATTCCATGGACATAGGAGCCTGGCATGCTACAGTCCATGGGATCACACAGAGTTGGACATGACTGAAGTGACTTAGCATGAGCATCTATAAGTCTAATGAGCCTGATAATCAGTTTCTGAATCTGAGCTTTCCTACTTAATACCTACTTAATAACCTTGGGTAGTTCTTAACCTCAGCACCCCCCCCCGACTCCAAAATATATATATAATACATGTATCATCAATAACCTGAGACAAGCATTATAGCTGAAGGCTGGAATCCCACTGACAAAAAAACTCAGTGGAAAACAAAAAGAGAGCAAACACAAAATGGGCAGCATTATGGGCATTTTGATTTTTGAGCCCAACACAGCTTAAGAGTCAAACTGAAGGAGATTCATACTTTTAATCTTAAAAGTTAACCTGTAATCAGAGGTTCCATTACATTCAGGATAGTCTTTTAAAGAAAGCAGTGACATATATAATATTTTACTGAGTAATTTCTATCAGGAATTAAATTTTTTTTAAATGTGTATATTACCCTTTCCACCAAAGATGGCCAATTAGTGAGAAAAACACTTTCTTCCTTTGTGTCTATCCTCCCAAGCCATGCCTCTCACTTGCTTTTGACTCTTTTCTCCACCTCTCACAGACACGCACTATCTTTTTCTTCCCAAACTTCAAACCTTTTATTTTGTGTCGGGGTATAGCCAATGAACAATGCTGTGGCTGTTCCAGGTGAGCAGCAGAGGGTCTCAGCCATACATACACACAGAGCCATCCTCCCCCAAGCCCCCACCCCAGCCAGGCTGGCACGTGACGCCGAGGAGGGTTCCCTGCGCTATGCTCACACGTGCTGGCTATCCGTTCTGAGCACAGCAGTGCAGACACACACTTCTGAATGCAAGCTCAGGCGATTTCTCGGCTGCGTACAACCACCACA